CATTGCATGAGGGCCACTTGACCCAGGAGGAGCCCATCTCAGGACCCTTCACTAATGACGTCTGCAGAGACCCCGTTCCAACACCAGGTCCCACTCACAGGTTCTGGGGTGCAAATGTAGACASGACTCACCTCTTACAATGGTGTCCAGCTCCCTCCAGGAGCCTGGCCTCTCCAGCTCCTGGGCTCCAGGTGGCCCTGCTGACCCCTGCAGTCCATGAGGCAGGGCAGAGTTGGGGATCAAGTGCTGCAGGTGCCAGGGAGAACCAGTAGGCCCAGGGCCCCACTGGGGAGTTGGCACTGTCAGGCCACCTGGGGTCCTACAGCAGGTGGGTGGCTGGGCTTCAGGGCCGTACCTGAGCTTTACTCACAGGGATGCAGCTGTGCACCCTGGAGATGCCAGTGTTCAGGGTGACATCCTGCTGCTTCCAGGGTGGGGGGCTGGCTACTCCGACTTGTGCGTGACCTCTGCAGCGGACAGCCTGAGTCCAGAGCAGCTGTTGCGGGAGCTGCAGGTAGGACATGTCTTCAAGGTCAGTGGGGTCTCCCTGCCAGGGTCAGCTTGGATCCCGACCATGTCTGCTCAGCCAGGTGTAATGCATCTTGTCCTCAGGGACTGGAGCAGGCTTAGCGGCATCCATGGGGACATCTGTCCACCTGGAAAACAGCCCTCCCAAGGCCCCACGTGCCCTGCTGTGCAGAGACGTTTACAGGAAGTTTAGGAAGCTGGTGTGGCTGGCACTGCCGTGGTTGGCACTGTCAGGAGACTCAGCCGCGCCCAGGGACTCACCTCCACCCTCTCCTCCTGCAGGTCATGGGCGTGGGGGTGAGAGGCCTTGCGTCCTGCCACTTCACCAGCTGAGGAACCCTACCTTCCAATGCAGCTCACACCAGGCCTCCGTCCCTGGGGTCGGGCCAGACTCAGCTTTGGCGGGGCGCTCCCCACTTGACTGCTGTTAACAGCTGACAATAAATGTGGCCACCTCAATGTCATCTCTGCAACTGCTTCCCTGGGATGTGGTCCCTCCCAGGACTGCCCCATGCTATGTCCAGTGTCACCCAGSTTCAGCTTGTAATGGCCCCGTGTGTTCTCCAAGGTCCTCACGGGTCACCTGCACTCTGCAGAACATGTGGCCACACTGGTGTCTCTGAGGTTGGTCTCTCTGCCTCCACTTGGTGCTGGGTCACTGAGAGCAGGAACCTGAGCATGGGCTGTAGCTGTGCTGGACGTGCATAAGTCCATCTGCTAGGGATAGAGCCAGACATCAGGTGCCTTCACAGCACTGGGCGCCCAGTGCCTTTACTTCCCAAACAGCCTATTTAGCCCTGAAAGGCACTCACACTTCAGCAGTGACCCAGTCGCCAGCCCAGCCCTGGCACCTGCCCACTGCCTGTGTCTGGATGGCCTGCTGTGGATAGGACCTGCCCACAGAGTCCACACTGACTGACCCTCTGTATCGGCTTCTCTCACTGAGCCCCATGTCTCAAAGTCTGTCCCACTTGCAGCACGTGTCAGAGCTGCATTCTTTTTCAGGGCTGAGTAATATTCCACCATGTTGATGGACTCGTCCTGTTCCCCCATTCCTCCTCAGTGGACACTTGGGTCACTTCTCCCTTCTGACCCTTGTGCATGGTGCTGCTGTGAATATTCACACACAAGTTTTCATTCCAGCGTTTTGTTTCTGGGTCCTTAGGGACATACCTAGTCTGGAGTTGCTGGTGGAATGGGAACTCCCTGCATAACCATGTGAGGCCCCTGCACACTGTCCCTCCACGGGGGGCTCCACGCTGCCCTCCCACATACACATGCTAAGAGTGATGAAGAACTTTGAGTCCCCGACTCCAGAGGGCTCAGCACAGAGCTCCTGGAGGTCCCCACACAGGTGGCCTGCAGGTGCAGACGGCACAGGGAGTCTCTGTCCTGGGGTCCCTGTGGTCATGGTGGCAGAGTGCAGCTTGTCCTGTGGGCAGGGGTGGGCAKTGCTGTGACCAGGAAGGGCTGACCTGGGACTCGAGCCTCCATCTGGGAGTGAGGCCTGTGTGGAGTTGGTCCTGGCCTAGTGGTCAGTCCTGGAGAGGGGCGGCTGGCCTGGGAAGAGGGAGAGACCTTATCTCAGGTGCAGCCCCTGATACAGGGTGCTGAGGGGCCAGGCGGGGACCTTAGGGAGGCCAAGYAGGGGCCCAGGAAGTGGGCATCCTCCTGATGACCACCACTGTCTGCTCAGGGGCTGGGAGTCCAGGAGGCAACTGGGCTTTGCCTTGTCTACATTGGAAAGCACTGGTGTCCACTGTCTATGTGGTGCTGGTTTATGCCACACAGAGTGCTGGAGAGGAAATTTGTAAGACAGTGGATGCCCACGCTGCCCCAGGCCAGGGGGCGGGGTGCCAGGTCCTCACTGGAGTCTCCCTCCTGCCCGCCCTGGCTG